AATACATTGTAAATATGAGTCTTACTGTATTATTTCTTAATGGATTGGCGAGACGTTGTACTTCGAAATCCCGCATTGACAAATAGTAACATAGTTTGGTGAGTGTCTATATCAAAACAATGCATCTGTCACTATCATTTGGTTACTAGTTGAAGAACAACTTATAGATTATTTATCGAGATCAGATATGAAGAATCGAAAAGAAGACTATGTTATGCTGATGAAAAAAGATGGTAAAGTGCCTGTAAGATAAGAGTTGAGTAAGAGAATTGGGTACAGAGATAGACAGAAATTGTGGTTTGTTTATCAAAGCATCGATGAAAACAACACGATAAAAATTGGATTATATTATCATGAAAGGCAGATTCCTGACTTTTTGAACATTTTAAAACGAAACTGGTGAATCAAGAGTTGATTTTTTTTACCGCTAATCAGTTGATGACGTTGAATAGATAAGATAAAATTTTAAATTATCTTTAGAATTGTTATTGCATTTCAGTGGCTTTTTTTATTCAGATATACAGGTTTTAATCTAATTTTTAAGGAAAATGTTTTTTGTTATAAGCAGTCCAATGTTGGGTGAGCACTTTTGATGATGCATTTAACATTAATATTGACTATTTTAAATGCTAAGTTCTTGAAATCATAGGTGTTAAACTAAATTTTAAAACTTATTTTAAAATATTTGCAAACAAGAAGACTGTATAGATCTATTTCAACAAAGAATCAGTTTATTTAAGAGAGACAAATATTTAATTTATAATGAACTTTTTCAATGAAAGACCAGATTGGATTCATTTGAATAACCTATATTCAAAATAATATGTTGCATATCGATTGTTCTAATTGGTCTGACTGACCTATACGAAAATAATGTAAATGATTCTTATGTACTTTTCTGTTGAATACTAGATACTAAAAGTGAACTCTTCTGTGAATAAAAAGTTAAAAGAATTGGAGAACTGCACACGAAGATTTACAACGTAACTGTAGTGATAGAAAAGTCAATAATGATGTATACCAATTCTAGTCGATATCCTTATAATGATTCCAGAGTGTTATCAGGATTTCTAAAGATTTGATAGCTCTTACAGTTTCTCTCATATAAGAAAGCGACCCCATCAGTAGGCACAAAAAAGGCTTCAGTTGTGTAATTGATTAGATTCTTTTAGATATTTATATGAATGTATTCCAAAAAGTGAAGCTTACCTAATATCGATGATAGGAATCAGTGATTGTATTCAATCGTATAAACACATTGCGAGTTGAACATAAAATATCGAACGGTTCCATATTATCTAGAATACGATATATGAGTTCAACAGGCAACTCCAGAAGATTCGAAGATATTGTTTGAGACATCAATTTTTTATATTTTCAAAATATCTATTTTGTTAAAATGACTATGTTAATTTTTTTTTTAATTTCGATATATTTATTGACAATATCAGATCACGTTTCATCATACGTTGGTAGTCTTTTGTACATACAGAGGACAAATATAAATGCTACACGAAGAATACAACAACAGAACTAATTCGATGAAGTAACTTGATACATTACTTTTTTTTCTTTTCATTTACACATACTAAAAGATCTCGTTTAAATTTATTATTCGACTTTTAAAACAAAAGAAAGGAGAAAACAGCATAACTAAGATTTTCGAGAAGTAAACATATGAAAGAAGTCGAAAAGTGATGATATTGATAGATGTAAACTAACATGAAATCAATTTTTAAAAATTGAAGAGAAAATACTATATACTATGTAATATCATTCTTATTGTGACTTCAATTCTGGATTAATTGTGATATTTAATTCAGTTTTAATAGATTTTCACTAAACAAAAAAAATCTCACTGAACAACAGACTGCAAGTAAATCTATAAAAGTCGATATTGAAAGAGAAATAATTCATGTTGATGAAAAGAAACACAACGTTTCATAACTAGCTTTAGTTTTGTTGCGGAAGTATATTTTTAAAGTTAAGTGAGACAATGTTAGGAAGCTATAATGATGAGTGAATTGTTATGTGAAATTCTCGAAATAAACTTAAAATGTATAGATTTTCCCTTATACACATTACCTGGATAAATACTGGATACTGTATCAAGTGAAATTCAAGAATATTTTGAGAAAGACTTCAACATCATCGCTTCAAGTTTGATAAAATAAGATAAATTCTTCAATACCTTTATGCAACACTGATCAGGAAAATGATCTCAAGTAATCAACTATCGATTGGATTTTTATTTATTATCAATAAACTATATAAAAATAAATGATATTTAGCGAAGAAAATATGTTTTACTTAGAAGCAAGATTAATAATATGGATCTTAGCGTTAGAGAAAGATGTCTGAATTTCGAAAAATAGATTTTGGATCTTTCTGAATTGCAGTAAATAGTATCTAATCTAACTCTTCGTTCGTGCAATTTTCTACAGAGAATTCTGAATAAAAATTGTTTCTACAAGTCTTGAAGTCATTTTTTTAAAACATTTTTCAAAAAAGTAACAATACAGTATCCTTTGATTCGAAGAACTATATATAATAGCATATAAGATTTATGAGAAGAATTCATTTATAGAACTTTCAAAATAGTGTCCATCCTTCAAGGATTTATAGAGAATGACTGATTATTAAAAAAACTCAAACTGTATAAACTGACAGACTTTATGAAATCGAGTAAAAGTTGCGCAAGAATGAAATTTATCAAATGTAGTATTCTGTAAGATATTAAGGTCTCACTATTGAAAAATGATTTCACTTTTGGTCCTCTGTTGCTTCAAAATGGTACAAGGGATCATGTTCAAAGTTTTTTCACATGTACCGAGCACTATTTAGAGTGAATAGTCATTTCAACTTCCTTTCATGATTTGTTACTTGAATAACAAACTCAATATACAGATTCTTTTGTAAAACTAGTACAAATTGTATTACAATCGCAGATAACCATGCCTGTAAGAGTTTTCACTCGATAATGATTGACATAGAATATATTATGTTTGCCATCAGTAAGATGTAAAACACTGAACAATACAAGAAATAATGGAAGACATTTGATGAAAAAATATCCCCCACTTATGATTTTGAACATTGTTTGACGTACAATTCGTAGATTTTAGATCAGAGGTGGTATCGCTTAAATAAAAATGAGGGTATGGGTGTGAACGAAGGCTACGCGAATATAAATACAACTTATCCTACATTTTTTTCACTAAATAACCTGTCATTAAGCTGTTTAACGTACTATCTACTATGTAAAATACATCAAATTTAAAAATTCTAGGTTTTTTAGGGATACGTAGGGTGTGCCCTTGTACTTTACACAGTACGTATTATGTTAAATAGATGAATGATGGGATTTTGATGGAAGAAAAGTGGTACAAGTTGTATTTGTACTTGCGTCTCTGATGTAGACAGCTATACAAGAAATACCGAGACCAGTCACACCCACACCCTAGTTGTACATAGATTGACTTTACATCTATATTAGTAATAGTTCATTATTTTATCACAATTAGCAGAAAAAGATATGAAAATATAGAAAAGAATTCATATTATGATGTAATTTAATATTTATTTATTTATCAAGTTAATATTCGAAGTTTTGACGTCCATAAATATTGCAAACAGCATCAACAGCATTGTTAATAGTAAAATCGTGAAGTCCGATTTGACAAAGATTGGCAACAATCCATAATTTGTTCAAAACATATTCATTCTACAATGACAAGATCAAAGATTAAATGTATAGATAATAAATTTCTTCAATAGACATACTTGAATATCGAAGCATTTTTCATGAATATGTTGTGTAGCAGAAATGTAACAATCATGCTGAGTTAATTTCATACGTTTTGATGTAACTAATTCATAATAATTAGCACCATTTACTTCGAAAGACTTTTTAGCAATTAAGTCAATTGTTGAAACAATGAATTTTCGTTGCTATAGTAAATTAACATTGTAGGTGTGTGTCACTCTGATGGAAAAAGAACTTACTTTAATAGTTTCAGCAAGTTTACGTTCAACTGTGTCACGTTCAGGTGAATTAGCTGGTAAAGCAGCTAAACGACGAGATAGAATGGTTGTACGAACTTCTTCTGTAGGAACAGCATCACGCTAAAAATAAATGTAATCACGAAGAGATTCATTTATGTTCTTCTTTTTTTTACATTCTAATAAAATATTACTTTGAGTGCAGCATTCAAACGATCAGTAAATGAACTAAATGATTGTGGTTTATTAATCATATTTTCACCTTGGAATTTACCAACATTGCGAAGTGTACCTAATGTCTAAACAAAATATAGATGTTGAACATTTCGAAAGAAAACTATAACAATAGAATAACACACAAGATTACCATATTGCATAACATGACTTTCAGTTGTTTCCTGCTTGGTAATTTGAAATTGTTTAAATAAAGTTTCTGTTGTAACATCTTCAGCATCAGAATCTTCCATCCAGTTGACTGAATACAAATCACCTAAGTATGTTTGACGTTTTGAATCATAGTAACATGCATAAGAAGATTCTTCTGGATTTGATGCTGTAGTTGCATAAATATTAATGCTATTACGTAGAAGACCATTAAGCATGGAACCTGATTCACAAGATTCAATATAGATAAGCATCTATACATAAAATAAATATTGATTAGAACAAAACAAAATAGAATGTGTTCATGATAGACCTCTTTGTATTTCTTATTGGCGTACATTTGAGCAATGGTTTTGTTCAAGTCCTTAGCATAGAGCTATACAGAAAATAAACTTCTAACAAAATTGAAAATAAAATGACAAATAAACATACGACACCGTTTGGAAAAGCAACAAGACCTAAATTAAATATATGGATTAATAAATATATGTAAATCTAACGATAGTGACTTTTTTACCAGTGGCGCCATGATCAGTAAAGTAAACGAAAACATTATCATCAGGACCACTAAAAATTAAAATAATAACATACTCATAGAGGATAATTAACATACCTCTGAAGAACTTTGCCACTACCAATACCTTTCATAGCATCTTTATTACCGAGTAATACGTTGATGAAGTTTTGAGGGGTAACAGTCTAAAAGTCAAAACAAAAAAATAAACATTTTATTGTAAAAATTTATCAATGAATTTACTTTGCCAGTGTAATCATGTGGGACACCATGATAAACATCTTTACCATTTGGATGATTAATAATAATACCTTTGGTGAGATTTCTTAAACAGAAAGAGAATTACTACCAATCCAAAAAGCGACAATCAAAAACTTACTCTGGATTTTGGGCGATATCATCCTACATCATAACAACAATATTTGAATCTGGGATACCATTTTTATGTAAGATTTGATAGGCATGACATACATCCGACTGATGTCGATAATTATAGTAACCATATTGGAACCAGCAACAAGTACTGCAAAATTATCGGCTGATATATATCCAATAGTGCCGAGAATGGTTATGATTACAATAAGAAGAATATGTTGACGAACAAGCATCTTACAAGTGTGTTGTGATAAAATAATACTGAAAAATGTTGGTGAAAACAATGAATTTCTTTTGTGTTTCTCACATCGTCAATGTTAACTTACATATCACACTCTGTTTTAATAAAGATAAGTTTATCAGTGATGATAATTATGATACTGAGACAACATTCATATACGAACAGTAGAGTTCTGTTCAAGAAAATCTTTCTCAAAGATTCTAGAAAATTTCTAAAGTGAACTATCAAAAGCATAATCAAATGAATTTTCTAGGGAAAATCTTTTTTTTAATCAGTATTGAAATACTTATTGAAATCGTATTGATCCAATCAGCACAAATCAACATTATTCTTGAAAATTTATTTATTGACTATTTAATTACGGGACAATTTCTTTTTCCGAATTTAGTGAAGATTTTTTTTTAAATGAACAATTTCATTCTAAGCAAATAAGATATGGTACATTGATAACAAAATAAAAATGTTACATAAAAAAAAAAAAGAAAAATACAGTACCCGCCATAAGTGGACCCGAGGAAAAAATCAACAAGACAAAAGAGTTCTTTTTTAATATTTTATTTACAAAATCTACATTATGTGTACATCATCTCAATAATTAATATAGTCGCCTTCTCTCTCAATTAATAAGGTTATTCTATTTTCCATAGAAACGACCAATTTTTCAGCAAATTCAGTAGATAAATTTTTCCATTCTTTTTTTTATTCTTCTGCAGAAATTATTGACCGATGTAGGTGGTTGTTTGTTTATTTTGAGCTTCATTAAAGCCCAAACATTTTCAATTGAATTACAGTCGGGAGATTGCGAGGGCCATGGTAATGATTGTATGGCATTGTTAATCTTGAATCGTTTACTCATTTTTGAAGTGTGCTTCGGATCGTTATCTTCTAAAAGTTTCCAATCACAGCTATTATCATCAAACCACCTATTTACTGATGGCAGTAGTCCATTCTTGTAAATTTTGCACATCAACTCTGAATTCAACGTTTGCTTGAATAAAACCAATTTCCCAAATCCATATTTACTAAAACAACCTCAAACATGAACTTTGACAGGATGCTTCACCGTTGTCACATAAAATTTTTCACCACGCTTTTTCCATACACGTCTTATCACCTGCTTCATATGAAATGAACTTTCATCTGTAAAAACAACTTGATCCCAGTCGACATCTTGATGTTGTAGAGCCCATGGGAACCTTTTCTTCATATGGTCTCTTGTTAACAATAGCTTGAAAGTTGGTTTGACCGATTGCACATCAGCTTCTTTGAATCTTCTTCTTAATGTTGTCTCACTAACATTTATACCTTTCTTTGATAATCTAAATGCAATTTGACCTACAGACTCTGTTGGATATTTAGCTACAACCGATTGAATTTCAGCATCTTGTTTTTCCGTTGTAGTACGTTTTCGACCAGTTTTTTGTTCAACATTCACATCACCGGTTACTTCATATCTTTCAAGCCAGAATCGCACAGTTGACTCATTGATTCTCAAATATTGTGCTATATCAACATTTGACATATGTAGGCCGAATTTATGCGTTGATAAGAAGACGATTTCCCATCTTTTCTTTATAGAAATGTTCATTTTTTATTATTTTGTTAATCGATAGCCGGACGTATACAAATACTCCTATTTATATGAGATGATGTGCACGACTAGTCCGTTAAAACAATGAGAAAAGATAAATGAAAGATCATTGTTAAGTATGAAAAAAACGTCGGGTCCACTAATGGCGGGCACTGTAAATCGTGAGTGCGACAGAATAAACTGGTGCCTTTTGTATTTCATTTTTTCATCACATAGTGCCTTTTATTAAAAAATGAAATATATCACAATATGCAGCGTTAAAAACTCTATAACCTTCATAGTAAAAATTAGTTTAATTGTGTTCTTTTCCCTTTCAAAAAAAGAAGCAAAATTATGTGCCACCAATATTCGACACTACGAAAAAATTTTCTTCCGACGCAGATAAGAAATTCTTTTTTTCTTATTTAAAGATATTGTTTCTTGTAAATTATAAAGCGTTTTATGTTGCATCTTGTGGTATACTTTGTTTTTTTAAAGAAACGCGCTATATGATAAAAATAAAATAAAATACAAAAGGCAACAATTTATTCGGCCACAACCGTTATATTATAAAATTGACGTTGTTTATAATAAGTCTGATTTTAGATCTGAAACTTACTTAAGAATGTGAATGATATTGTTGCTACGAAATACGACAAATAATATTATCTTATCAGGTGTATGAGAAAAAGAGAACTTATCAATATTAACTAATTTTAGACAGCTTCGAATAAGCATCTCAACTAACTCATTTTTTCTTTGTTAGAACTTATGTCTTATCCATTGATTTAAACATGAAATTTTCGTCTTGCTCACATTTGCTGCAAGAATAAATGTGTGCATTGAAACAGTTCATTCATTTAATGTTACTAACGACGACGAATATCGAAGTTTAGCTGGCAACCGTACAAAAATCCGAAAATTTCTTTTTTTTGAGAAAATGCTATGTTATAGAATCACGCTAATAAATCACGACACATTGTATAGAGTGTGAGTTGGACACGTTAATTACCAAGTTTTTCTTTCAATGACTTCGCATGGTGGTGAAATTTCTCAATTTATAACTGAAAACATGTGCTTCGAACTCGAATACCGATGAAGCAAATATTTCAAAATGACCAGGCTATCAGTGCATTTACTAATGACACTAGGCTTATTTAATAAATATAGAAAAGTTGAATAAATCAACTGTTTAATTGTTGTGCATATACTGCTTGTAATCAAAATAGAAAATGTGCTGCATCGAAGACGAAAACAACCTAAACAATATTTTAGTGCAATCTATATCAAAAGAACGATAGATTCGGGTTTTTTTTATCATATTCGGCTTGATTTGAATTCCATAAAATAGTAGATGAAAGTTAAAGATGATTATTTTACAGATTTGACAAACGAAAATGAAAATGAATCACCCAATTAATGATGTTTGACAAGATTTTCAATAAAACTCAATTTTCTATTTTGTGAGTGATATTTTCAAGTATTTATCGGTAATTTGGGTTCACATAGCCATCTACATGAGACCTTAGACATGAATGTGAACAATATGAACCTGTCATTGATTGTTGAATAGCACTATATCTAATGATGATTGCAAAGTTTTTGTGATATATCTTTTTTCTCCAAAGAAAAACAGAGAACATTGTCTATTGTATTTCAAACTTGCATATTTCAGTTGCTGGTCATCAAAAAAAAAGGCATCGGTAGGATTCCACAGTTCTACTACGTTTCTTTCATCTTGTTCTATAAATGTCGCTATCTTAACTTGCCATGGATTTCTTCTCTATGTACATATTATATGAGTAGATGCACTTTAAAATATTTGTCTTTGTTCTTCTTGGTAACAATTATGATGACGATCGAAAGTAAGTTATTTGCATTTTTTCAAAACGGATTTGGCAATCTACAATTGGTTCGCATAGACATCGTCGCTACCGATATCGTACTCGTTAAAGTTCTAATAATTAAACATTATGCTTATCTAGTCGTCCGTGTTCTCGTAGTAGTAGTCGAGATTGTTCAAAATAGAAATACAAAGATTGCTTTGTTGACAACTATGTGAAGTGCCTATATTACATTAGATCACGGTGTCGGTGTAGTAGTCGTGGTTTCAGTGATTTTTCCAATCGTGAACGTGATCGAAGTGTTTCAGACAATTCAAACAGTGATCGTGATAGAAAACGTTCTCGTTCAAAATTCAAGACGTCAATCAATAAGAAAATTAACGATTCAAAGTGTCGTTCACCACGAAAAAAAAAACTTAGTGGTCATAGTGATAATGAGAACAAAGAAAAATAATTAACGAGTAGGATTATCTTATATTATAGAACACAACCTTTTTTTCTGTTTTCTTACTGGTTTAGAAATTATCTCGTCGTGAATCAATTAATGAATCTATGAATGATGAGAAAGAAGAAGATACATTGAAACATTGAAAATGATTATCAATGTTGAATAATTGTTTGTTTCTTAAATAGCTTTGTTCGATTCGCTCACGTTTTTACCTGTGAATTGTGTTACCAATAAATACTGAACGGAATTTCGGAAAATAAAAGCCTTTTTTGTTCTTACAGCTAATCAATCATATCTAACGACTTGTTGATCATATTTGATGAAATAGTATCTAATTGCGCCTGTTTAATGCCACTAATCTTCCAGATCAGGGTGTGGATGTGAGTGTGGGTGTGGGGTGTTAGGTGTGAGTGTGGGTGTCGGTGTGGGTGTGGGTGTGAGTGCGAGGGTGTTGGGTGTGAGCGCGGGTGTGGGTGTAATTCTTCCCTTTATAAACCGAACCCACACCCACACCCACACCCACACCCACACCCACACCCACACCCACACCCTGATTCTCTTAGCTGAGATGAAATCTAGATTATGGTAGCTGTTAAACACCCTTTTCTCTGGAAATTCTAGAAACAGTTTCTTTTTAGCGATCGCTTTTATTAGTNCCTTGACCGACACATGCTTTCAGTAGATATTTTGGTGTATCTGAAGATAACCTGAAATGCTGCTGATCATGCATCGTGGTGTCTATATCAAAGTTTCGTGTCTGTACAACTTCAATCATCAGAACTCTGCTGATTCTAGATTTTTCCAGAATACTTCTAAGAGTGACTCTATTTTTTATCTTTTTCATTTCTTCTTTCTTGGATATGTTATTGATAAACTGTACGATTTGGTAGCATATCGAAACCGAGTGTTTCAGTTTTCTTGAGAGTCAGTTCGATCGTTCACATTGTACAGATAATCAGAAGAAGACCAGTGACACCTGACAGAACCTACACTGCAAACAAATTATGAATGCACCAATTCCAATTCTAGACTTCGAATTGATCAGAATTGGTTTAGAATTGGTGTAGAATTAGTACGGAATTGACTAGAATTGGTCGCAAACAGTATCGGTTAGGGGTAGAAATGTCACAGTTTCAATGCAGTCTTGAGCTATCGGCATTGAATAGGATTCGTGTTGCTATATCCGTAGTTTTTTGACTAAAGAAGAGTTTTTTAAGAAAATAACGATTTTTTTATAAAGTTTGGCCGAAGGTAATCAAAGTCGAGGAATCCAAATCTGCAATCAAATTTTCAAAATTTTGAACCTGATTTCCTCGTGAAATAAACTTATGCCATCTACCGATGGTCGAACTTCATAATAGCTCGTTATTTTCTCAAAAACCCTTTCTTTGTTGAAAAAAATCAAATATCGAATTTTGAGAAACTGATTACAGATTCGAATTCTTCGACCCCAATTACCTTTGGCCAAACTTTATAAAAAAATCATTTTTTTCTTGAAAAAAGCCTTCTTTAGCGAAAAAATTAGGGATATAGTAATATGAATACCATTCAATATCAATAGCTCAATAATGCATTGGAATTGTGAGATGCCTTCCCTAATCGATACCGATTGCGACTGATCCCAATCAATTCTAAGAATTGGAATTGATGCATCCCCAGCTTATACTTTGCAACACGTAGAATAAGCGATGAGAACAAAATGAAATGCATTCAGAAATACAATTATTGATTAAGCGAAAAGCAAAAGTTTAGGCAAAATGAACAGTAAAATGTTTTGAAAAATAAGACGAACACATGTGAATTTATGGGAAGAAAAAAAACAATGATATGAATGTGTAATTTTCTCTGTTTAGTTTCTTTCTTTTGTTATCGGTTGTATTTGATTGTAATTTGTTATATGAACTTGTCGATCTCGAGTAAAATGTGTTGTTATATCTATCGACTGAGTTTGTTTTTGATTCAGTAAGATATTTTTCAAATTTCGCCTTAAAGATTTCGATGAATATAAATAAATGTAGAAACCAGAAATATAGTTGACATAAGTCAATAGATTGGCAATTGTATTAAATATATTGTCTTGTGCTGTGCGTAGTGCATCCTTCTGAATATTTAAAGTTACAGCCTGGTAAATGATTTGAATGCTAGCTACGAAAAGAGAAAGTGCCATTGTCATTGCACGTAGAAGAACCATTCGAGTCATTTGATTTGAGATAGATTGATGAACTTGACGTACAGAGCGAAGATTATTTCTTGTCAGAATATTGAATATAATAAATATTAATAAAGGTAGAAGACAAAGGATGACTAAACTTTGAATATATGTAAAATAAAATGTCCAAGCAGAAGAATATACTGTGCAAATGGTCGATGTTTTATTTTCTCTTGGATACACATTGTAAATGAATAACTCTGGCATATTAATCAGACACGAAACAACAATCAAAAGCAATACAATAATTCTTGCCAAAGATAATTGACTCAATTGACGAATTCTGACAGATCGATTTGACAGTAAATACTGATCAATAGTAGCAAAACAAGTAGAAAAAAGTGATGTATAGATGCAAACTTGACCGATAAAGAATCGAGATTTACATATTAAATTAATAGTATTTGTAAGTGGAATAAAGAATCCAGAGATCATAATACGAGTCGTTAAT